GTTTAAAGTTGAAAAAACGGTTAAAAAAAGCAGTGTTTTTACATTTTATTGATTTTCTCGAAAACTATAAAAGATAGAATGGATCCAAAAGATGCATATAAAGCTGAATGTTTGGGGAATCTAGACGAGTATTCATATATTTGTGGTTTCATCTGTTTGGCTGTAATTGACCGTTTAAATTTGAAAAAACGTTAAGAAAAACAGTGTTTTCACATTTCCTAATCACTAAGTTACAAACATATATCGACTTGAATGAAACAGTTGATCGAGCTCTGCAAACATTCGCGCATCGAATAATTTTCCAGATTTACACTCCGCACGCTAAATATTCAATTTACATTCGCGTAATTAAATTCGCCGTTTACTTAAGGCAACTGGAAGGCAAGTGTTTGGCGAATCATCGTGTGTGTGTGATAATAAGATTTCAAGAATACGTGCGTCAATTGAATCGAGAATTTACCCATCCAAATTCCGCGCACCGAAATCGAATGCAGCACCCTCTTTGTCATACCACGCAACTTACCAATGGGATTACGAAGAAACAAAAACAAACAAAAACAGTCGTTTCAATTTATCGCCACTTCGCAGAGGCTTAATTGAATTTCACAATTTTACGATGCGAATATGCGTTTCCAGCAACACTTTTCATAATGCGCTCAGTTTCATGAAGAGTTGCATCCACCGATTTTTACGACCCGAACATTGCTCCATTTTCTTTTGTCGTATTCGCAACTATTTTTAGTTTGTATATTTACGAGCTTCAATCAAAGTTGCCGAAGATGCAAGCAACATCGTAAACCTTGTTGGTACAACGTCTAAAGATTTATTATTATGTATTTTCTCGCTCGTCCTTACATTTTATCTCCGCGACCAAGCGAAAATTTTAAAAGATTGGAGGCTCGACGAAAAAAAAAATATATAGAAATACATAAAAAGAAGAGAAAACAAGAATATAAGTAGGCGTTATGACATAATTCAGGTTGCGCTGAGTGCGATGAATCACCCGGATTTATCACTTGAAGAAATTTTTTTGGGGGGATGGAAGAAAAAACACACGCACACATCAGGAAACGTGATATTTCATTGAGAAAATATGATCTCAATATATATATATAAATTTTTTCTCTTTTCTTTTTGTGTCTGAATAATTTAATTGGATCTCGCGTTGCAGATGGATGTTAATCAAAGGAAACCCAAACAGCGCGCACGGAAATTGATCTTGCTGTATAGACTCTACTTGCTGTAATAATGTAATGTCGGTAATCGAGGTCGATTATAAAAAAAGGAAATAAATTCGATGAGATAACATTTGTTATGGTGGGGTTGGAAAGAGGCGATGGATGAGGGTTGCTGTGGTAATCTCTCTCTCTCAATTGTTCTGGGACAACCACAGCCGGATGCGATTTACATTTTCCAATTGATTTAATTACAACGCACACATTTCGAATGCAAAATTACAACAAAAAAAAAATATTTAAAACATACATAGTTTGTGAACTCAATTAAAACGCACCATTAAAACTTTCATGAAATATTACTTTAATAACAACGAAATCCTTTTTTTCTTCTTCTAATTCATCCAAATTTATGGAGCAATGAACTTATTTAATTCACATTCATTAATTGTTAATACTATTACATTTTATACTTATTTAGTTATGACATATGTTAACTAATACGAAAAACAATAAACATCAACACTTTTGATATAATTTTCAAAATATGATTACTAAAATGATTTTGATACAAAAACATTTATTATAACTGAAGCAAAGGGCTATTGACCATATTTATTATATTGTCTATATATTTAATTGTAATAATGTATAATTTGTATCATTGTCATGTGAAAATGTCGTTTCGTTCACTCGTTGAAATGATGCTAATGATTTGGAAATATCCATGTTTCAATGTATGAAAAGGATGAGACGAGATGATAAAGTAATGATAAAATTTCCGTTATTGTTGCAGGGATATGGAAACGTGGAAATGATCTGAACTATATCGACACGTTGCGAACGAAGGATAAGTAGAAAGAGACGTAAAGATATATAAGATTGGAGGATAATAAAGTGAAGATGAATCGTTTCTATAACAATCGTCTGGAGGATGGTGGCGGTGGCAATTTGGTGTCGGGTGATGAGGGCGGAACGTGGAGCACCGCCTCAGCCGCCGTCGTCGTCGCCGCAGCAAACGCGTCCGACTTTACGAGCACGTCTGCGACGAGTCTGGCTGTGAACTTCACGATCCCGCAGAACGTGTGCAGTTCCAATTACATGAACATCACCTGCGAGGTGCCCACCACCTACGCCGTCCCTTTATACGGCTACGTGATGCCCTTCCTGCTGATCATCACCATCATCTTCAACACCCTCATCGTCGTCGTGCTCAGCAAGAGACACATGAGGACGCCCACAAACGTCGTCCTCATGGCCATGGCCCTCTGCGATATGCTCACCCTGCTAATACCCGCTCCCTGGCTGATCTACATGTACACCTTCGGGAATCACTACAAACCGATCTGGCCCATCAGCGTGTGCTACGCCTGGAGCGTTATGCACGAGGTAAGACAATCATTTTTAACACGTTAAGGACGGCGCTTTTCGGGTTCCCTGCCCCCAAAAAAAATTTCGTGGACGCCTATGGACTGAGAGAAACGTCAAATATCTTACGTCAATTATAACCTTTAAACGTTTAAATTTTTCTTATGCATTTTTTAATGATATTGAAGCAATTTATAACAATTGTGGGAAAAATATTGAAATTTCCATAAAGTTGTTACATATTGCGCACAGTGTTATGATCAACCGACACTGTGTATCAAATGTTTTGAAGATGTTCATAAAAATAAATAAACATTTCTATTATTGAATGATCCTATTTTATTTTTGTTATATTCAATAAATATACTCAACCGGGTTCGAATTTTATTGAAACGCGTAAAAAGTGCTATAGGTTTTATAATAAGCAATAATAATAATTGATCATTGCAATTTCTATTCAAGTTGAATATATCATCTTGTGCTCTAAACAGAAATAATATAGGAGCTGAGAAGCGGCAAGTAGCATTTAATGAAAATTTCAAATATGTTTCACATGTTAATTTGCAAAGTATGCCTAAATTAGAATTATTAAAATATGTATAAGAAATGTATTGGCGTTTGAAGTTTGTAATTGACTTAAGATATTTCAGGTTATTCTCAGTCAAAATCAGTGGCGTACATAGCAACAAAACTATTATTTATAATTAATGACCCACCGGTGGGTCATGCCGTCGTCAATGTGTTAACATCTAGGTATTCCACAAATATCATCAAAAGCTTACATTCCACTATCCATAATTCTCTAGAATTACATTAATTTGTGATGACACTAAAAAACTTACTAACTTTATATAAATTCTCTTCAGTTTCCTATAAATAAACTGAAATAACTGAGACACGCTAATAAATATCGAACTATAATGCTTGCTGAACTTTGATATTAAACATTTAAAAGGTTGTACACCGTAAATTGAAAGTTTGAGATATCGATTGCAGCCTGAAAACGTCACTTCTGCAGCAGCAGCAGCATCCGAGCATCACGTATATTACGTTCCAAACAGAAAACTTCATTTATTATTATACGTACGTACAGGAAAGTAACGGGGCGCATACTGATTATTGATGAGACTAAATTGAGCGCATCGTTGGAAATGCGGAATGCTTAACTTTCCAGAAATTCCATCAAATGTGTTTCTTTACAACAACAGCAAAAAGTAGACTATTCCGAAAGTGTAAAATCGAGTTTAAATTTTAATTAAATAAATGTTTTTTACAACTGTTAAATATGAAATATTGCTTGTGTTGTTGCAACGGTGGATGCGCCGGGTAAACGCAAACAATTGCTAACATTACGGTTGCCATGTCAACATTTAATGTCGACCTGTGTTTGCGTAACAATTGCACTTGTTTTGTGTATTGTTTTTGCGTGCACTTGCGATGACAGCTGCAATAATTTCCATAGTAAAATGTATTTTATAAGCGCTTGTCTGATTATTTATTAATTACCTATGTAATATTGCTATAGAAACAATATTTTGTTTGTTATAAATCAGAGCTCTGCTCTGCTTTTTTTTTTTTGGGGCGCTCGAAACGGGATTAATCATTTGTGTGTAATTGTATCAAAACAGCGTGGATTATGATGCGACCGGTTTACGAGACGGACGGGTTTATGATTTAATTCTCCGCGCGCCCAAACACACCCAATTTTCGAGTGCACTTTTGCCCACAGCTTTAAAACAGGATTAATTAAAATCGTAATACGTGCAGTTTACGTAAACCGATACACAATTTCAAAAAAAAATAGTGGTCATGAAGTATTTGAAGTTGCATAACATTAACAAACAAAATTCGAAACTAAGACCAAATATGATGCAATAATAATAATATTATATAAAATAATGTCACATTTTTTTTGTAGCAGTGTTTTGGGAATGTAATATTAACATTAATTTATAAATTTGAACAGCGACAATACTGGATGTAGTCGGCTGTGTAAATTGTCGGTTCCGGTAGACAAAAATCCTGGTAATGAAATTAAATTGGGCGAAACGATTCGTGCGGGTGTGAAATGCAAACGGTTGGATAATTTGGTGAAGGTGGCGCCGCGCGCGTGTAACCACCGTCAACGCGGTTTCGCATTATTCCAGAAAGAGGAAAAGTCTGCAGATTATTTTCACGTCCACTTGCTTTTTCTTTTTCCTTTTTTGCTTCCTTTCACTTCTCGCCCTCCGGCAATAACGAAGTTTGGAGTTTCACTTGTTTCATTATTATTTTGGCGCTTTTCCCTTCTTTTGTTCCACGCGCCAAGAGCACTTGATAATTCTCTCAATTTTTTTTTTGTAAGTGATTCTTTTGTTCTTTGCTGAACTTGGTTAAGGCGTTGGTGGCGTAGAGAGAACTTTAAAAAAATTCGTGCTGCGATTGGATTGAATTTGTTTTGATTTTTTTGTTGTTGTGTGTTTGGTTGCAGGTGATCCCCAATATGTTTCACACGTCCAGCATCTGGTTGACCCTCGCCCTCGCGATGCAACGATACATCTACGTCTGTCACGCTCCTCTGGCCAGGAAATTCTGCACAATGCCGAACGTCTACAAATGCCTGTTCTACATCCTGCTGTGCGCCGCTGTCCACCAGAGCACCCGTCTCTTCGACAGGGACTACGAGGAGGTAACAATTTACGACCTCTCTGGTCGGGTTTTTGTGTGTGTGTGTGTACTTTTAAAACCGCACGCAAACATCAACGGGGGCTGGGAGAGCAGAGAGAGAAAAATCGCCGCCTGCCATATAATTATAATGGATGTGACAGGGGCGTTAGGGGGTGGCGCATAAATTCCGCCGCTCCTCGCACGCAAATACAGAAATGTTTATTCGAGCTGCGAGCGAGACAGTGACAAACATACGCGGAGAGAGCGCAAAAACCCTTCGTCATAATCAAATATTAGATTTCCCTTTGCTTGATTTATTTCGCGCCACTCGACTCTGATTATAATTGCGTCACATCGATAGCTTTTTTTTTCTTCTTATCGTCCATTTCCATAGCAATAATATAAAATAAAATTCATATGTGACGTTTTTAGTACAAAACAATTAACACTCTCGCTTAGCTACAGCTGCAATCTGTTTTTATTTTGTAGCCTTTTCACTTGAATTTCAATTCCAACTCGAATTAAAATAAACTTTAACGTTATTATCAGGTGTAAAATTAAATTCATTTTCAGTACAAAATAATTAAAATCATCTGATTATAATTGCATCCATCCACGATTTTTACCCAACGTCACATCGATTCGATAGCTTTTTTTTTCTTATCATCCATTTCCATAAAATAAAATTAATTTGTGACGTTTTTAGTACAAAACAATTAACACTCGTCGCTTAGCTACAGCTGCATTCTGTTTTTATTTTGTAGCCTTTTCACTTGAATTTCAATTCCAACTCGAATTAAAATAAACTTTAACGTTATTATCAGGTGTAAAATTAAATTCATTTTCAGTACAAAATAATTAACATCAATGATTATAATTGCATCCATCCACGATTTTTACCCAACGTCACATCGATTCGATAGCTTTTTTTTTCTTATCATCCATTTCCATAGCAATACTATAAAATAAAATTCATTGTGACGTTTTTAGTACAAAACAATTAACACTCGTCGCTTAGCTACAGCTGCATTCTGTTTTTATTTTGTAGCCTTTTCACTTGAATTTCAATTCCAACTCGAATTAAAATAAACTTTAACGTTATTATCAGGTGTAAAATTAAATTCATTTTCAGTACAAAATAATTAAAATCATCTGATTATAATTGCATCCATCCACGATTTTTACCCAACGTCACATCGATTCGATAGCTTTTTTTTTCTTATCATCCATTTCCATAGCAATACTATAAAATAAAATTCATTTGTGACGTTTTTAGTACAAAACAATTAACACTCGTCGCTTAGCTACAGCTGCATTCTGTTTTTATTTTGTAGCCTTTTCACTTGAATTTCAATTCCAACTCGAATTAAAATAAACTTTAACGTTATTATCAGGTGTAAAATTAAATTCATTTTCAGTACAAAATAATTAAAATCAGATCTGATTATAATTGCATCCATCCACGAATTTTTACCCAACGTCACATCGATTCGATAGCTTTTTTTTTTCTTATCATCCATTTCCATAAAATAAAATTAATTTGTGACGTTTTTAGTACAAAACAATTAACACTCGTCGCTTAGCTACAGTTGCATTCTGTTTTTATTTTGTAGCCTTTTCACTTGAATTTCAATTCCAACTCGAATTAAAATAAGCTTTAACGTTATTATCAGGTGTAAAATTAAATTCATTTTCAGTACAAAATAATTAACATCAGATGATTATAATTGCATCCATCCACGAGTTTTACCCTTTTTTTTTCTTTCATCCATTTCCATAGTAATATCACAACACAACACTATAAAATTAAATTCATATGTGACATTTTTAGTACAAAACAGTTCCAAATCCAATTAAAATAAACTTTAATGTTATTAGTAGGCATTTTCAGTACAAATTAATGGACATTCGTGTTTTTTCAACTTAAATTACAATTCGAAATCTAATTTAAATAAACTTGATTTTATACTTTATAAATATATAAATTAGTATCATTAGCAACATTGTTGTTCTTTTGACTTACATTTCAGAATTAAATATTTGTTGACATGAAAATTTCAATCGACTTTTACTTAAAATAATAATGATTAACAGCGTTTATTTATTTTTTGTTAAGGTTGAGATTGAATGGAACAACGAAATAGTCTCGGTGTGCCGCGTGAAGATCGCCGATTGGGTAAACGAGTACATGACCGAGGACATCTACTTCCTATTCTACTTCATCTTCCGGATAATCTTCGTGCACTTGATACCGTGCGTCGCGCTCGTCATCCTCAACGTGTTCCTCTTCCTGGCTTTGAGGAAGGCGCAGCAGAGACGCGATCTGCTGCTCTCCAAGAAGAACCAGAAATCCGAATGCAAGAAACTCCGAGATTCCAACTGCACCACTCTCATGCTGATCGTCGTCGTCTCCGTGTTCCTCATCGTCGAGATACCTCTAGCCGTTGTGACCATTCTGCACGTCATCTCGAGCACCATGAACATCATCCTCGACTACGACGTGGCCAACGTTCTGGTGCTTTTCACCAACTTCTTCATCATCTTAAGTTACCCGATCAATTTCGCCATCTACTGCGGCATGTCGCGTCAATTCCGCGAGACCTTCAAGGAGCTCTTCATCCGGGGCACCGTCACCAACAGGAACGGCGGATCCTCCAGGTATTCTTTGGTCAACGGTCCCAGGACGTGCACCAACGAAACGGTCTTGTAAATTACCTATCAACTGGCGCAGCGTTTTAGATCTAGATTTAACCTTCCTGAATCCGCCAACCTTCTATCCAAATATTCGATGTTTGTAGCAAAAACTATGTGAATAACTTATATAATCGGTGTAATTAAATGTAAATAAAGTACCTCTACTTCATGTAAATACTATAAGCTAAGTTAAGATAATCTAAGCTAAATTAAGACTACGACTTAAGATTAAGTTACATTAACTAGTGAAACTAAGCGGGAACCTCGTCGGGTGTTTATTACGATCATCTGAGCCCGATTGTATAAGCACTTGACGACGCGACCGAAGATGAATTTATTTTGTACAGAACATATATACATCTATTAATATAAGGATGAACAAATAATAAATATACTATATTTTAGATTCTATGCATGTAATATCCAAAACATAAGTGTGATTAATGTTTAAGGAAAATCCTGTAACGATGTTTAATTAATGTCAGAGAATAATAATTGTTATATACCTCCTCTCTCCTCCTTTTAAATGTATGTTGCCTTCCCACTTAATAACATATTCAATAAAATAAATGTCACCCAAAAACACTTTATTATTTAATAAAAAAATTAACTTCACTCTACATTTAATATCGTCCTAATAAACTTATCAGTCTCTATATAGATCAGAGAGTTGAAACGGAATCGAACCGTAAACCGAAATTAACCGGATTTTTAACTGAACCGTAACCGGAACGAACAATTGCTCAATTGAAAAACCGAAATTTTAATTACGGTTAATTTCGGTTCAATTATTACCATCAAGTCCGAATTCCGTGGGAACGCTTAATCATCAATAAAGCTTCAATCACCACCAATCAACCACCGACTAAAAAGAGAAAATTTGAAGAAGAAAGAGCAAGAACAAGTCTTTCGCAACTAACAAACTCAAATTAAAGTGATTAAAAAGGATATTACTGTAAACATGACTGAAGAAACTTTACAAAATGCATGTGTTAAACTAGTCTAATTTTTATTTATTTGTATTTTCAATTTTATAATTGAAAACAATTGTAATGTTTCAATTTTAACCAATTTTAACCAATTTAAATTGCTTTTTTTCGATTTTAAATTTTAATTTCAACCAGAACTGAACCGAAATTTTTTGACGAACCGAAACCAAATCTGAAACGATAAACATTTACTTGGAACGTAACCGTTAACCGGAACGATGTTAATTTCGGTTCGACTCTCTGCTATAGATATAGTTAATATATAAATATAACTTGAATTTTATGTGCAGCATCGCTGCCGAGTTTTTAATGCGAGCATGAAAACCCTTCGGAATACGTAAAGCGGACCTTTTACGATGCGATTTTCAGTGCGGAACAGTCTATATTATTATTTTTTTTATATATTTATTGTTTTTTTTTTTCAGTTCGCGCATTAAAATATGTGTAACAATAAAAATGCATAGCACCACTGGATCACAACGTAAATCGCGAATCGTAAAAGCCGCACAATAAAAAAAAATCGTAAGAGATTACTAATCCAAAGGGCAGTAAAAATAATACCCCTAAACGTGGATTACACCTAAAAACCCACTTTTTTTAACGTTTATACAATAAATATTTATTGTTAAATAATCGAATTTGTATAATTGATATACTTGAAATCATTACTTAAAAAGATGTTACATATTCCAAATTTTTACTTAGCGTTTATGAAATATTACTATTAATGTTAATGAGATGGAGTTAAAACATTAATAATCATTCTATTAATTAAATCTTATTAAAGTTTGGATACTAAATTCAAAATATTAAAGCGCCACAAACGCTGAACTAAATTGTTTTAGTGAATAGCAATAGATGGCTAAAAGTTACAGTTATAGTTCAGATCTTTTGCCGCTATTCCAATTAAGATCTTATTTTAAATCAATTATTAACAAAAAAAAAAACGATTTTTAATATTAATTCATAAACGTATTTATTTAAAAAAAAAACCTACTTCAGCTCCATCTGCTGGAGTATTTAAATTTAATTCTTGTGATGTAAGATTACATTTATTTGTTACATTAATTATTTAACTGTTTACTGTATTCTGTTCAAAAATTAAATATGTAACTAAATTAATTATTTTTTTCTATTTGTTATTGCTTCTACATGGGTTGTTTTAAATTGGTAAATTATGGTTTCATTATGGTGGTAATCTTGAACTGTTGGTAATTCTGTAAATTGTCCGGTTTGTCGTTTGTGATTATTTGCAAAATATTACTCTCGTTAAATTCGTTTGCTATCAAATTCGATGACCATGACTGAGAAACCAAAATTGGATCTTGGCGTTTTGGAGGAGGATGATGAGTTCGAAGAGTTCCCAGTCGAAGGTATTGTGGAAAAAGAAATGTTAGAATTTTTGTGGTTATTTGTATGTTTTTTTTGTTTTGTTGTAGATTGGACTGGTAAGGACAAGGATGAACAAGACATCAGCGTGTGGGAAGACAACTGGGAGGATGATAATATTGAGGATGATTTCAATCATCAGTTGAGGGCTCAGCTGGAGAAGCAAAAAGCTAAGCCAGCAAATTAACTTTAAATGTATTCTCTTTAATGTATTGTAAAAAATAAATCTTAATTACATATAATCAGCGTCGTACCTCTCAGACTCTGTTCTTGCTCCGACAGCGCATGATAACAATGCTTGTATACTCCTTTCCTCGCCACTCCCATAGACGTATCCGTTTGCTTTGTCCACAGCATTCTTCAATGTTAACAAACTTGTATCAGAACTAACATCTAGCGGAATAAAAGACACCAGACCGTAATCTTCTATCATACTAACAAGACTTTTATTAAGTT